CCCCGCCGGCTCCGTGGGGCTCTCTCCCCAGCTTTGATTTTTTGGGAGCTGAGCTTCATCCTCTCCCAGACCTGGCAAAGAGCTGTACGGAGGGAGGGGAGCGCAAGCCACCTGCCCTCCTCCAGGCACGAGCATCCTTTTCAGCAAGAGCGGTACCCGTGGGAGGCACCAAACCACGGCTCATCCTAAAAAGCCTTTGGATCTACCAAGGCAGACGCAACCAAAAAACTACCATCACCCCCCGGCCATGCAGCAGCACCCGCAGAAACCCAGCCCTGAAGGTGGAAAAGCGAGAGCAGGGCAGCGGGGGGAGCGCTACAGCGGGGAAAAGCTGCAGATTTTTTCACTTTAGCAGTTATTTTCCTGCAGCACTCAGCGCACGGCTACGACAGCTCTTTATTAGGGCTGTTATTATCACAGGTCTGAGCGGGGCGCCTGGCAGAGCATTGCTGACACCTGCAGGCTACAGCACCCAGCCCAGCCCAGCACCCAGCCCAGCCCAGCACCCAGCCCAGCCCAGCACCCAGCTTCTCGGGGCTTCCTCCAAAACCACGTATCAAACGGCTCTCGAGATCAAGGCGCTTTTGATATCTGCTCAGCCTGTCACCCGACTCGGCCGCTTGTATTTGTTTTTCCCCTGGATGAGGTAGCCATGGCCTGAGCACCCATGGGTGCTGCTCACGCGAGCCGCCGCGCTTCCAGCAGCTCCCTAAATACAGGGTTTATTTTTCTGGGAGTATTTTAGAGAAGAATCTAGTTCTGGAGTAGGGAAAAAGAGGGAGAGCCCTGAAGAGCCTGCGCTTCTCTCTCTATTTTCAGTCGATATTCAGCAGTGAAATAGGTTGCCCCTATTAAACCTTCCCACTGGCATGTGCTGTGCTCTCGTCCTCCCCTTTTCTGCTGAAATCAGTCCCAGGGCAGGAAGAGAGCCGAGGATTTAGACCTTTTATATAGACCTCTCTTTCACATAAAGCTCTAAGATTAAAAAGAATAGGTTGGGTTTTTTAATCTTCACCTGACCTTCCTATTTCTGGCCAAGTCGAGAAGCAAGGGGCTCGCGAAGGCTTTCCGGCCCCCACCGCACAGACTGGCTATGGGAGGGTCTTAAAAATGTCACCAAGTCCCCATTTTGGGCTTGGCCCTGAGCATCCTCCTTTTTTTATTAGCTGGATAATTCCCACTGAATTAGGGGTGGCTGCAGCCTGCATGGCTCTCACATAGCCTCTGTTTCTCTGTGATTGGAACCGGAGCAAGCGACCGCGGCATCCCACCGGCATCCCACCAGCATCCCACCACCCCGTCCCCATCCCACGCCGGGGTCGCTGAGCCGTGACTTACTGAGGCTGCCCAGCTGCTTGATGATGGCAGCCAGCGTGCTGTTGGTGACACACTCCAGCTCACTCGTCACCCCCTCGGGAAGAGCCCCCCGGCACAGGTGCCGGGGCTCGATATTCCTCTTCACCAGCGGCATGCTGCCGGCGAGCCCTCACACCTCTCCTGGGCAAAGGAGAAAGAAAGAAAAAAAAAAAGAAAAGACACAGTTTTTGCCATTTGCCTATTTTTTCTCCCCATTCCCTCTGCTCTCTGCGCAGGGGACCCATCTTTTCCACACCAGGATATGGAGGACACGGCCAGAAGTGAGCAAGCGCTTGTAATGCCATTATTTCCAGCTCAGTGCAAAGCTCTCCGGGATTTTACTCGTGCACACGCTACAGCGAGGAAAGCCACTGCGGCCAGCTCGCCCCGCTCTCCGCAGCATCCCTGCGTGGTCCCCGCTCCCTGCCATCCCCGCCTGAACCAGGGATGGTTCATTTTCTACGGGGCTCAAGGAGATGTAGGGAGATGCCCGCACCCAACAGCCTCACCTCCCGCGAGAGCACCCATGGGAGCTGGCGAGGAAGGACGAAGGACGGGCACAGCGGGGTAGGAGGGGGAGGCTGGGGGCAGGGCACCCCACTGGTGTGAAGGACAAGTGGGGTAAAACCACTGAGAAAGGAGGAAAAAAAAAAAAAGGAGCATTTATTAACCACGGTGGTGCCTCCTGGGACTGGGACAGGCACAGAGCAGGCTTGCACAAGAGGGTCTTACGTGACATGAGTGCATCGGGCCTCAGCTCCACTCCCAATGCAAAGGCAAACTGATGGCTTTAGCATTGAAATCGCTGTGAATTGGATCCCGGGCTGATAAGGACCAGAGAGCACAAACAGCCTTCCCAGATCTCGAATGCAGTGAGCTGAATCCCCCCGTTTCACATCCCGGCACCCCCCATCCACCCCATATTTCACAAAATCCTGCTCTGCTTGGGCAGTGAAGGAAAACCAGCTTCCGAGCAGAGTCATTAATAGCTGGGAGCGGAGCAGCCACGTACCGACAATGGAGCCAGCAATTCTGACCATGAACAGAGCCAGAAATCTGCAGAGTTCACATTTTTTGGCCCTGGCAGCGTTAGACAGAACAGTTTCCTATTGACAGAACCCGGCCAGTGGTGCTCCCGTCCCCCGGCCAGCACCGCCAGCTCCTCTGCAGTTTTCAAATGCAAATGCAAGCTCCCTCCATGAAAGAGCCCAAAACTTGTTTCTAAATCATTCATATCGAGCTTCCCAAAGGGCTGATTGTGCTCCCAGATCTGTACATAGGGGGGGTGAATGGCCGGGCTCCGCTCTGCCCCGGGGCAGTCGGGGTGCCGTGGGAAGCACCCCAGCCCTGAACCCTCCTTAGGGTTGCGCGATGCTTCGGGCTCAGAGCAAACCATGTGTCCTCCAGCGCTTCCCAAAGTCACTGCACACGGACGGCGGGGCTGGTGTCCTCCCTGGCTTCCAAAACAACCAAGAGGCTTCTGCCAGCCGGTTATTTTTCGGCTGAGAAAACTGTGACGGAGTTTGCAGGGGGGGCTCTGGATACCTGCTGATGGACGTCTGCTCTGGCCACGAACAACCCCCCCTTTCCGGGCACCCCCTGAACCCCCCGGGCTGCGTAAAGAGATGAGCAACGCTAACGCTAGCAGCTTCACCCCAAGCTCCCTTTGAGCTGTTTTTATGTGTCACCCCAAAATCCGCACGACAGGCTGAGCCCCGGCACGTCCCCGTGGGGGGGTTCGCCCCGAGCGGCGG